GGCGAAACAACTGCCCAGTACTTCCAGGTTCTCCAGTGGTTCTCTAACTGATGTCAGCTCATGATGAAATCCTCCATGCAATCATATAGGGGCATTGTATATACCATTCATTAAAATCGTCACTTGCACAAATCTTCCACTTTGTACTGCTGTTGCCCTTTCTTCCTATTGTGTTTCTTTGTCTCTTCGACGTCATATCTATCCCTCTGGTACTTAAAATTTTTGTGTCGACGAACATTTTTATACAATACTACTGGTAAGTTTTGTCAGTAGTAGAAGACGCCACACTACTACACATATATAAATAATTATTGACTATTTCATTTTTCCCGGTCAAAATAAAAATTTAAATCAATTTTTATTATTCTTTCTTATCTTACTTAATGTGATGCATCTTTGCAACCATTTTTGTATTTCAACGATTGTTGTCAGTAGTTTTTTACGAGAAAAAAATGATGAATGCTTTTTTAAAATTATTTATTTCAACCGCCTATCTTTTTTTTGTATTCATATTGCCGACTTTATTCTCGTGACTACATAAATAACCCTTTTACATAGATTTGATATTACCTGTTTCAAGATTGAAGAATATTCGCCTTTCTGTATATTCCGATTTAGTATTATTATTATTACTATTAATATTATTACTTATCGTAACAATTTATATATTGTAATGCACGGACCTCTTAATCTTTGAAAAAAAATCAGGAATTAATCTCCCATTTAAAGTGTGTGATTATTGATTCAGAGTATAATGCGATTGACGAATATCCTCTCCCATAAATGCTTTTCTTAATCGGATTATCTTTTGCTGGATGCATTGTCCTCCAGGTGCTAGGCATTACCTGTTTATAGGATTCTCGTGCTAATCACAATCAATTTTGGGGCCCTGCAACCAATCGGTTAAAGCTATTGTAAAGAGTAACGAGTTCTTTCCAGGTGCCCGGTGGGCGTTGAACTATACCTTGATTTCGTCGAGTAGAGAAATTCTGCTTTATAGAAAAGGTTCAACGCTACACACAACAAATATTTCACTAAAATAAACAATTTTTCTAGATGTAAGACTGAAATTTCTTTGACTCATTCATCCAACTTGCGTGTGTGCCTGTGTGTGTGTTTACGAACAAACAGTTATTAAGATTTAGCTGAAATCCTTCATCTTAGATATTTATTCTTTCATTCACCTGACAACTAACCATATCTCAGTGCCTTTCCTTTCGTTTCTCTCGGCATTCAATTGAAGCCCCTAACATACACGGTAATCTAAATGAATCAGCATGCCTGTCACAAGAAAATAACGTAAACATTTATAATGTGTAAACACAATGCAAAAGGTATTTATTACTTAGATTATGGGATTTGTATTAATTTCAGTTGTAAAATTTCCCCACCAACTAACATTGGTTATATATAACACTGGAAACTAGGATGCTTAGGACAGCTTTTTCGTCCTAGCTTGGGACTCTTCACTAATGAGAATCTACTACCCTGTCAGGGGTCAAATCCAGGATCTTTAGCACACGAAACCAAGCTCGTTGACCATTACCATTGTTATTATTATTAGTAGTAATAGTACAGGTGTGGAAACGTAAGAAAACTTCGTAAGTCATTGTTCATTGCATATTTCAGGTATTGGTTTTGTAGGGATATTGCTTGATTGCATGGAGGATTTCATCATGAGCTGAAATCAGTTAGAGAACTACTGGAAAACCTGGGAGTACTGGACAGCTGTTTCGTCAGCCTAGTTTAGGACTCTTTATCAGACTAGGATGAAACAGCTTTCCAGTACTCTCAGGTTTTCCAGTGGTTCTGTAACTGATGTCAGCTCATGATGAAATCCTCCATGCAATCAAGCAATATCCCTACAAAACCAATGCATGAAAATTCATCTGATGCTCACTAGCGACTGGCCATATTCAGGCAGTTAACCTGGGGTTCTAGTAGGAAGTCGTGACCAATAGGGTACAGCAGGTTGAAAATGAGGCAGTAACTCACAGAAGAAGACATTGCGAGATGGTTGTGCTATGTCGTGAATTGGCAGAAGTTAGGATTAATGGGCTGACCATTGGATCGGGTCCCAGTGGCTCAATGGTCTACGAGCTAGCTCGCCTTGTAACCAGAAGGTCCTGGTTTCGAACCCTGGTGGTGGGGTGTGCGCACTGGTGAAGAGTCCCAAACTAGCCTGAAGAAACAGGTGTCCGTTACTTCCAGGTTTTTCAGGGGTTTCCTAACAATGGAAAAGTACTATTTACTGGATGAAAAAGCTTCAAACACAATTTATTGTTCATCATCATATGGTATTGAATGTAAAATCATTACTTCGAAATCTGGTTCCTATTAGTTAAAGTGTTTGCACCCTTCCATTTGTCCTATGAGTAGTAAAATTTCCCAGAAAAATTCAATGATTTTCTGGGACATGGGAAAATTCTGCTATGCATACGACATTAGGCCATGTGATTTAATTCTTTTTAGATTTTCCTGTCAATTGATTGGACATAAGTGCTCAGTCTCAAGTTGACATCGTCTGAACATTTGTACAAGGAACTGATGTGTCAACCTGATACCGAGCACTTCGGTACAATCAGTCGACAGGAAGGTATAAATTGAATTAAATAATTAATAAGACGCGTTGCACAAGAGGTGGTTGTCGTGGCTCAAGTAGTCTGGTGGATAATGCTTTGGTGTTGGGAACTATGGGCACTGGGTTCGAGCCTCGGTGGGAACACCACCACTCACTGGGGAATGAAGGTACATCCATATGACGAATCCCAAATAAAACGAAATGTGCTTTATCCTTAATTCCACTGCTAGTCACCATCAACCAATTGACTTTAAGTTATATGACCAGACATTGTCAAAACATCTGCACAAGGAGCCGACATGTCGACCTGGGACTGAGCACTTAGGTCCAATCAGTCGACGGGAAAGTCTAAATTGAATAAAAATCTTTTGTACACAAAGAGTTTGTACAGTCCTTCACATTAAACTTGGATAGTTATTTGGTTGTGCGTACCAAAAATACAACGCTTCAAATGAAAATATACTTATGGGGACCACAGTTATATCCAACACCTTTCTAGATTGATATTTCTCACTAGGTTCCCAGTATCAACCGATCTGTGCTTTGAAGTTCCAGCAGAAACCAAGATGGTGCTTAGACAGGGTGTAGTTGTAGACCCATGCCCAACCTCCCCTCCTTTCCAGGCGTAGAGAATCAGTCGGTAAACTCTAGAAGCGGAACAGCCAAGAAAAAAACGTGCAAAGGAAAAATAAATGTGCCGGATATATGCTTGGGACACCGTCAAATGACATCACAAGTGATGACCGTGGAGTGGAATCCGAACAGGAAACGACGGACGACATTCAGGAGATCATGTGAATAGGAAATGAAAGCTTGCTGGCAGTTATCCAGCTAGCTGAAAGTGATGTCAGGGAACCGAGTGAGGTGCAGATGTGCTGGTCAATCAATGCCTTATGTTCCTCTCAGAATGCAAGGATTGAATAATATTGTAATAATCGGCCTATCTCAAATTTTGACAGCATTATTCAATTGTTTCGATTACTTGTGACAAGCATTTAAGGATTTATGGCTATATTTATAGTCTATGAGAAAATATTACACCGATGCTGTATGATTAGTTTAATAAAACTGTCCAATAGTTGCTATATAATAGTTGTCACACTTTTATGGTCCAAGCAGAGTGAGGCTGTACTAACTGACGAGTCGGATAACTATTAATTATATCATATTATTAAGGGGACACGCGCTTGCGCTTGAAAGTAGAGACAAAAAGGGAGGAAGAATGACCCAATCGTTTGTTCTCCTGTCAATACAACGAACATCAACTCCGATTATGTGGAAGATTGCAACAATAAGCAGAAGGGAGTAAAAAGAAGGCCCATACAGCAAGTCAGGAAGTTACATGATGAAAAGGTTGATAGGCCTGAAGAAGCTTTTTCTTACACAACAAAACGTTCAGAAAAAATCTTGTTTTGATTTTTTAAACACTCTGAGAGGATTTTGAAAAAAAATTTTATACTGATTTAGTCTGACTCAGCGTTCCAATTATTTCAGAGAATTTCATAACATTTATGGTTTGGATGTTTATACTTATACTCTAATTGTTTTAAATAGGCGAATAAAATTGATGAGAATACAATCGACCTGTTATGAAGGGTGAATACTAGGTGGAATACAACTTTGGTAGGGGTGTGCGTCAGTGGTCTAGTAGCAGAAAGCCCGCTAACCACACCAAGGCCTATATATCCCTAAACCTCGCCTAGCCGATGGTAAACATGGAATAAAGGGAATGATGCCTAGTGTGATGCCAGGAATCCATCCCGTAAGATAAGCACAACTTCATAGTTTGAAGCCCTATGTCCCGCTCGGACAGCAAGGAATGAAATAAATTGCTTTTTTCACACTACAAATTATACAAATATTGAGTTCATGGAGATCGAATTCGTTTAAGTTATTTTATGCCAGAAGCCAACACTTTAACAGAGTCCGAGCACACCGGTCGACTACCGAAACGTCCCAAGCTAGAATAAAAGAATTGTCCATTCCTCTGTGGTTTCCCCCAACTGGTAACTGATGTTTCTTCATGACAAAATCTACGCGTCGCACAAGAACTGAATCACGTGGTCCAGTAGCCTGATGGGTGATAGTTTGGCGATTGAAAAAATGGGTGTTGGGTTCGAGTCTAAGTTGTAGCACCATAACTCGCTGATGAGGCAGGTACATTCAGATGACGAGCCCCGAATATGACGAAATGCATATCTTGTGTTCTAACGCCAGCTCACCATCAACCAAGGGACTTTATTCACTTCAGATTACACTGAAAGTGAAATCTACTTTGAAAAATATTCAGAAAAGATATCTTTGAAGTTTAATTTCAGTTCACGAAACATCCAGATGTCAAACAATACAGGATAATCAACGTGAAACTATAGTTATCATCCACAGAAGGAGACTGAAAAGAAAAAAGGTATCATCTTACCTGAAGACCATTTTGATAAGTCATTAGTATTTTGTACAGTAGCATTTGGTCTTAGTGAATATAAATTCGGATTTGAAGAACGTCTTCGAAATACACTGAATGGTTCACTTCTATTTTGTTGATCTATTCGACTGTGATACTGACGATTTTGAGAAGAATATGGTAGTGTTGAGTTAATAATTTTTTCGGTTTGATTTAATATTACTTTATTCACATCAGTGATGCATTGAACACTACATGATGAAGAAGGCGGTGCAGAAGTGCCACTGGGCAATAATTGGTCATTTACTGTACATGAGGAAGAGGAGGAATTTTGTGCATCTAACGAAGAAGGCAAAAAGGCTGCTGTTGGTGGTGGTGATGACGATGATGTTGGTGGGGAGTCTTGAAAACCAATCGGTGGAGGAAGACAGTATGGGGATTCAGGTGATGAGGAATTTGTTGTTGAAGCAGAAGAACATTGGGATGATGGTGTTGAATTCAGATTATCTTCAACTTGTATTCCAATTTCTGAAACTTTATAGGAAATCATACAAGAAAATAAAATAGTGGTGTAAATTGTCTTTTAAAAACCTGAATGAGAATGGTCACTTATACTTACACACATAAAATTGTGAATATTTGGTGATTTTCCTGATTTCAAGGTAAATTTCGTCACAAACCGGCATGAGTTAGAGAACCACTGTAAATTAGGGGGGACTAGACAGTTATTTCTCCCTAGTTTGTGACTGTTTACCAGTACGTACACATGGTCTATCAGGGATTCAGCACATGGCCTTTGAGTTATGAGACGAGCATTGGGTTGGAATGTAGTTCTTGAATGAGGCTGATAAAGATTGGGCGCACCTCAATCGTTTTCAAATTACTTCGGAGTCAACGCTGTCGAAGGCTTCACCTAGTTTACCACTTCATAAGTTTTCTAGCCGGTTCCAAGCCGCCGAAAAGAGAGGAGGTTGAGCATAGAACTAGCGATCCTACTTCCTACAATATAACAAGAGGTATTAGAATTCCTCGTAAGTTTATTAACCATCTCTTCTGTTACCTTTGCTGAATGTGATTGGTTGTTTCGGGTGATATTTCTCACCCCTTTGGTTATTTTGTTGACCTAATTATTTGACTTTTTTTTCTGTTATTCAATAAACTTTATCTGTGTTAATGTACCTTTTAGTTGCAGATTTGTTTCTGAGTTCCAAGCTTCTAAGAGTTCTTTAGCATTCTTGGTGTTTTTCATTCTCTACAACTTCTGCATTCTTCCAGTCGAATTGGTTGTCCATATGTACTGACATGAAAGAATGGATGTCATGTATTTTTTACAGCCAGTTCATGTTCGTCGATGTGAAGACATAAGTACTAATCCCCTCCTCCTTGAAGACTAGCCTCCAGATGGGTATCCTAAGACTGTAATGAATTAAAGCTCATTGGCCAAAACGATCTCAGTTTAGATATCAAATGATGACATATTCACCAAGTAAACGTAATGTATTCTGGATTTGATGATCACTAGCGATTTCGTGGATGATTTATGCTAGATGTCACATAAAATCGAAGACTTACAAGCGAAAACCGACAAAATGGTCGAAAAAGCAGCCGGCGAAGACAGGACTCCAAGTGAACATAGACAAGACGGAGGTTATGAAAATAACAAACCAACCAACCAACAACAACAACAGCAGCAACACCCAGCGTCAATCACCACCAACGGGAGGGATATGAAAGAGGCCACTTCATTCACTTATCTAAGGAGCATTGTCTCAATTACAGGAGGAACGGACGAGGAAGAATATTTCCAACAGGCTATTGCAGACCTTTATTAACAACTCTCTTCGCTGGCTCTATACTGAAGATCAGATGGCCGGGCCGGAAAGAATCACCAACAAGAAACTATGGGAACAAACAAAACAAGAACCAATCACCGCCCAACAAATATGCAGGAGAAAGTGGAGATGGATTGGACACTCGTGGCTGAGGAGGCAGCTGGGTGACATCGCGCGCGCGTCAGGCCATCGCTCGAGTGGAACCAGGCCGAAAGGGAAGCGGCGAGTGGGTCATCGGTGAAAGGGGTGACATGGAGGAGATCGTGTGAAGAGGAGTTGAAACAGTATGGACTAACATGGATGTAGGTGAAAAGTACAGCAGAAGCAAGTGGAGACGTGCAGTTGAAGCCCTATGTTCCACTAGGAACCCAAGGGAACAATAATAATATAATATAGTACTGCTGACAAGTCTTGAAACAGAAAGAAACAACTGTTGCCTAGTTTCAAAAGTTCTAAGACTAACATTGATTGGCGACGAAATCCATCCAGAATTCAAACATACCTCTACAAAAGTCGAAATCAAACCTAAACAGCAGAATTATTGGGGAAACTGTCTTCACAAAACCTTGTACATCAGCGGTTCAGTGGTAGGATATTTGCTACCCACATAGGAGGTATAGGTTCGACTGATTGCAAGCCGTTTATAGGGGTCCAGTAAATAAAGCCCCCGACAATCAGTTCGTATATTTCCTAGAGAATCTTTCATTCAGTTTTTAGTCATCTGGATATGATTTGTCAAGAAGTTGATGTGTGTCAATTGCTTGAAGTCATGAACACTTAGTTTGTTCATGTTTCGATGTAATCAGAGACAGCAACTAAGCATTTATCTCAGTAAGAAAAATATTTTTACCTTGAAGTCTAGCATTAATGTAGCCTGTTTTTGAAACAGTAATGAAAGCTGTTGATAACCTGCACCTAAAGGCTAGTAAATGTCAGTGGATTTTTGTGGCCTCATTCAAACTATTCGATACATGAAGACTGATCATAGTGAGTTGCAAAAACTTCTGCAACCTGGACTGAACATCTTTCATCTTGGCGACTGTGAACACTGGTAGATGGCGGAAGCTACTGAAATGAAAAACAGGTCATAGACTCATTAGGAAATTGGAATGTGAAAAAGCTATCTTCACCTCTAGTAACCTCTCATGAGAAATGGCAGGATAGTGAATGACCCTTCAGCTGATTTAAAGTCGATTTGTAGTGAGAGCTGTCTGAAAGCCGAAATTATAGATAACAATTTACGTCACTGCTTACGTCCCGCACTGGGGTCATGAGAAAAACAATAACAATGCTAACCTTAAGGAACTCACAAAACAATCACAGCAGACTTAACATGTGCAGATACGATTCGCAGATACATGGCTTGACTTTCTAAGAAACGGCAAGAAGCAGTACAGAATAACCTTCAGCAAGAAAACAAATAATCAGAAGACGTTGCTTCTCTGTTAACAATAACGCTCATAATAATGCACATAAAATTCTATAAATATCTCTTTATTTTCTCAATAGACGATCTGTTACCTTGCCCTTGTTTTTTTGTCATTAAAGATTTATAGTCACTAGGTATCCACCCCTGGACTGAATGGAAATAAGACATCAATCCATCGACGGGAATAGAGGTTGCCGAATCTGGCTTTAACCTAAAGTAAGAGGCAATAGTGTGACTTGCCTGCATTACTCCAGGGATGTGTAAAGATGTAGATAATGAACTAAACGTCACCCAATTAGCTGGCTGATACGAAGCCCGGAAGAGAGGAGAGGTTAGGTGTGAGAGTAGTAATCCAACCCTGTGAAAACATAACTTCCAAAGCTTAAAGAGTGAAGCCCTATGTTTCAACCAGAATGCAAGGAATGGAAATAATTCGCTCAATAAACATGTAGGAGGAAATCCAAGCTATTTGTTTGAAACTTGCAGGTATTTAGGCTTATTTCATCCCTCCAATAGCCATTTAGTTACAAAGAATATTATTATTTGAAAACAATAACTTACTGTCATGTTTTGCCACTTGTTGACAATCTTTTTTATCCTTTACGATTTCAGTTGTTGTAGGCATTAATTTATCTGGTTGACACTGGGCATCATAGATTTGATCAAAACTTGTTTCTTTACGTTTACTTGAAAGTAGTGAACTTGAGGCTTGTGAGAAAACAGTATCATTCGATGAAAACGACTTATTGACGGATGACTTCACTGCGGTAGGCTGATCTAATACACGATCGTGGATTAGACGATTTAGTTTACGAATAGCAATGATAAACTTCTTTTGATGTCCTGAAAAAGGAAGTCAGACGAGAAGAATAAATGATTATCAAAGACGGTTGATTAAAAAATGGTTGTGTGTTACCACAGGGAATTGGACAGTTATTTCACATTACATTCCAGTTACAGACTCTTCTCCACAGTTCTCGGAAAGTCTATTTTCAAAGCAGTTTTCAGTTACACTTGCATATTTTATTTATTCACCCTATTAGACAGAAAACTTTACCGGCTATATGAGTCCAGTACTAAGTTCTGATGCTCACTGAATGCTAGCAGTCAGATTTATAAAACGGTCATCAAGCTAAGTGACTCACCACAGCGGTACATTTTGAATTGATGTTAAATGATTGTGGGTAAATGGTAGGAAGCCGTGAACACCGACTAAGTGCTATTTGTGCGCAGTTGTAATGTCGCTGACACCATTACTGAGTGAGTCAGGTGCCAGTTCCCTCAATATTGTTGATGCACTTTGTTGATGAGTACCAAGAGGTCCAAACTCTTAACACAGACGGTCTTTCTTTTACTGGAAATCATACGTTCTCTGGTTTTCTAACTTGTAGGAGTTCATTGGTGTTTTAGATTGCCTGAATGGGGTCCTCGGGATACTAAGAACCAACCAGCTGGGGACCATTGGTGATATGAATCAAAATTTTTATTACTGGCGCAGATGCATTCACTTGAACTGGTTCACTTCTGTGCAAAGGTCCACGTTGAAATACATCCACTCGTTGATGTTATATCAGTACATTTCTAATCACTATCAGATGCTTTCTAATAATAAAACATTCTTCACCCTGTTTAACAATCAAGTCAGATTGAATTTTTCCTGGGTGTCAATCCTGTAGGCAACTGACTATTGTAGGGGTGGACGACTATTGAATGAAACAGACGGTTAAATTCTGCTTCCGTTACTTTTAGCTTGCCCAAGGTTAACCACCTTGGCTTTGCGAATAATGGAAGGTTTTGTGTCTACATGGTGTATGTATGTGTGTGTATTTTTTGCATTGATATTCTCGAGTTGGAAATTCTGCTAGTATTTCCAGAATTCTTTCTGTTGACTTAGGTGACGATTGAACTGATTTTAGTACTGTGAAATCGTCTTCTTCAACATTTGTACATTTGCAATTTGTTTTTGTCGTGAAGTTTTTCTTTCAGGTATTACATAATAAAGTATAGCTTCCTAAATCATCTATACATAGAATTGCTAGGTAGGTCTAGGTTAGTTGTCGTGATGATCCATAATGAGTTATCGCTTAAACCTGAGATCAAACATTTGTTAATATTTTCTGCCCAGTTGCCATTCGCTTTTTACTGTTCACTCGTAGAATGATAGCGGAACATTAGTGTGATGTAAACAACTGTATATGATTTGTGGAAATCCTCTAAGAAACATCACACTATTTTTCTCCGTCACAGTCATTATTTCCTCCTAGCTTCGGAGGAATTCATCGAAGGAATAAACCGCATATTCCCAGTGGAGCTTAAGACTTCAAGCTAGAACTTCGAAGTTTCGGTAGCAGTGGTGTTTATTTTTACTGGATGGGGTTGCTAGCCTCATGTTCAACTTTCCCTCTTTACCAGTCTAATTATTGGCTTAGCGAGGTTCGACCGTGGATCGAACTCCAGACCACATGGGACGTGGTCGGCGAGCATTCTACCGCTTAGTCACCGACGCACTCCATAATGTGTAGACCAATAGAATGAATGTTGCGATAATGGAATAAATAATGATTGTCAGTGAACTCGATACACACACACACATGTTAACGCCACATAATTATCTTCGTGTCTTAGGGGGTATCATGTGATTTGAAATTTCACATGATGAAGTAAGCAGACCAAAGTATCACCTCATATAAGCACATATTGTTTGAATGTTATTCTTTTTTTGACTGGACACTAGTCAGTGACTGGTGTACTGTGTGACTAGTCCTATCTTCGCTGCAGACTGAATTCTATCAGTCAAGCTTGCAATGTGGCCACCAGGCTAGGTGACTCGCCATTACGGTGTACTGTGAATACTTGGTATTAGATGGTTGGAGGCAATCGGCAGGAAGCCTTGAACCTGGGTTTCGTGCTAGTTGGCACTCATCAGCAAGGCATATCTGCAACCTGATAGAGAGAGAGAGACTGGGAATTCAGTCTGCACTGTAGATAGGACTAGACACATTACACTAGTTACTGACTAGTGTCCAATCAAGAATATCTAATACAGTCCTACAGGAGGTCAATCGCGAGCCTGAATAGCTCACTGGTAACGTCTCTCACTGCAGGCAGCACTGAGTGACGCGGACTCGAATCTCAGAAGGGATACGAATTGTTCCTTCAAGGTTGCAGATACGCCTTGCTGACCAGTGAGTGCCAACTAGCACGAAACCTAGGTTAGACATGGCTTCCAGCCGATTGCCTCCAACCATCTAACACCAACCAACGTTATTGTGAACTGCGTGATAATATTTATACAAGAATATTTGAATATCTTTCAACTAAGGCATGTGATACAGAATTTTTTAGAAGAGACAACAACAAAAATAACGGTGCGAAAAATAACAGAAAGTATGAAAGTGAAATTTTAGTAGTCAAAACGCATTAATATAATCTGAACACACACTGGCTTCAGTTAGAGAAGTGTTGGAAGCCAGAGAGTACTTGACAGGTGATTCATGCTTGTCTGGGACTCTTCAGGGGCACGCACCTATCGCCTCACCGCTAGGGATTGAACTTAAGATTCTCAGGTCACGTGGCCAGGTCGTTGACCACTCAGCCATTAGGATGGAATTCAATGATCCATGATCCATGACAACTTCTACCAATAGGCGGTGTATAGCGCAACCACCAACAGATATCACTGGCGTGTATATGTCCTCACAACCGACTTGATGGATCCCGCTGGTGACTTCATCCTGTTGTTAGTAATTAGTAAGCACCAGATTAATCTTCAAGTGTTGATTAAGGGGGCGGGGGTGGACGGACTTGATCAGTTCGAGAAATCAATCAAGTTCGAGTAAACCAACACTTGAAAACTAATAAAAGTAATAAAGTACCACAATCATCACAAAAAGAGGCATGTTGAGTTACCATGGTGATGATAAAGTTTAGTCTGATATACATGTTATCCAACCAACAATCACTCAACCGAAAAAAATGTAGTAAAATTACACACAAACATGTTGGTTTTCGCTATGAAGATGATGATAACATACGATTTAGTTCATCACGGATTAGCAGGAGTTAGAAACGATGGGCCATTGGATTCCATCTGAGTGGTCTAATGGTCAACGATCTCATCTTGCAACCATAAGGTCTTGGATTCGTTTTTTGGTAGCGAGATGGTGGTCGCCTACTGTTGAAGAGACCCAAACTAGGACGAAATATCTGTCCAGTACTCCTAGGTTTATCAATGGTTCTCTAACTGATATGTCAGCTCATGATGAAATCCTCTAACCAACCAAATATGACTTCATTCATCTCACTGATAAGTAAGCTTTTCATATCAGCTACGTCTATCTTTGATAAGGCCCAGTTACTAGAAATTCAGTCTTACTGTAGCTAACACTGCTTGTAGAAGCACCTCAGCTGAACACAGTCTATACAGCTTCATCGATCAGCAGTTTACCTTCCTTAATCAAAAAGAACACTTTTCCTATCTCCAATCTTACTCACCATAGTGTGCTCATCTAATTTCACTGGCCATGTCTTACAATCGTAGACTAGGAGAACAGTGAAGTATGACTGAACGTAAGGCCAAATGGTTAAACAAGATTCCTCTTCAGATCATTAGTAATCCCTACAATAATAAAAACCAACCAAACATTATTTTCACTTGTTAGATTTTGTCACAAACCGACATCAGTTAGAGAGACCCTTGGACATTTGTTTCATCCTTGTTTCGAACCCGCCAGCGACCGAACCCAAGACCTTCAGGTTATGAGAACAAACTCAATGGCCATTCAGCCACATGGGCCTGAATTCATCGACTTGTGAATCCTACCTCTGTCAAGGTTTTTAGTATAAACATTAATTTTTTTTAAGAAAAACAAACGCTTACCTAATTTTAAGATACCGATCTCTTCTAAATCATCCCATGTAATACGAACAATTTGTTCAAATGTAATCAAACCTTGATCACGTAATTTTGGCCAATATTGTTGTAGATGCAATTGAATAAGTAAATCTTGAACACTTGTCTATTCAAATGCAGAAGACACAATAACAATAACAAAGAAAACATGTCAAATGAATTCATTAATAGTGAGAACAAGAGACCTAGTTGCTCTACTGAGAAACACATTATAGAGACAGGACACAAAATTAATGCTTACACCTCTTTTAAACCTATCAATAAAACGTGAAATCCAGATGGGAAGCGATGAGTGGGTGGTCAGTACGAGGGTAACATGGAGGATATAGTGTGAGAAAGAGATGAGAGATTATGGGAAATCGTAGAACAATCTGAAGAGGACGGCAGAAAACAGAAGAAACTGGAGATGTGCAGTTGAAGCCCTATATTGTTCAACTTGGAACCCAAGGGAATAATTATAAGAAAACTTGTTATGGACGCATGCTAAAATTTGTGGAAGCCCCAGCTAGCAATTAGGAAGTTCCGATCATCCATCCAATGTCAGTAAAATAGGATTGATAAAATGTTTAAGTGACAGAGCACAAAAACTAAGTAGTACTAAGGAAAATCTAAGGCAGGAAGTGATACACATAAAAGAAGCCTTGAAACTTAATAATTACCCGAATAAATTAGTCAGGAAATATGTAAGGAAATGTATAAAATAAAATAAATGATGATAGTAGCGATAGCGACAATGATAATATTAATGATAACAATAATAATAATAATAGTGATAGTAATAATAACGACGACACCAACAATAAGGAATCTAAATCACCAGTAATTCCACACAAGGAAGGAATCTTGGAAACCTAACTCAGAACTCTTAACAAGGCAGGAATAAAAGTGGTTGGCATTCAAACCCCCAACAAACTCAATTAGAAACAAGCTTTGTCGGTTAAAGGATCCTGCCAGTGGAGCCTTTAAAACAAAAACAATTTAGTTTATCTAACATCCTGTTTGAATGATTGTCAGGTCAAATACATAGGTCAGAGTAGTAGAACAGGGGCAATCACACTAGCCGAGCATAAAAACCTAGCGGCAAAATCTAGATTGGTTGACCCAAATAAGATAAGAAATCTAGAGAATAGTTCAACTGTGCCACTCACTACATGCAGGTACACACAACCATAAGATAGAATGGGATGGGATACGATGACACTTTTAAAACCTAATGCAACTAACAGGGTGGAGGGAGAGATTGATAAAAGAAGCTTTGTTTATCGAATCAACTGCAAATACATGTAACAGGAATGGTTCAACACCTGTCCAACCAGATATCTGGAAAATTCTACTACCCCAACGACGACAAATAGGAGAAAACAAAGAAAACTATAAAACTCAAGTTTCAAAGTCGTGTGATTACAGTTGATACGATTATGAACAATAATAGATTGTTATATATATCCAAACCAAGTTCACTTTTAACGGTTTGAAAATAATAATACTTTGAGAAAGCTATTAGTATTAAATAGCGAAACGTCAGTAAAAACAATCTCGTTTTGTTTTTTCATTCATTGGGAAATACAAAAAACCTCTATTATAATGAATAATAGATTGTGTTCGAAACTGTGTCATCCAGTAAATAATACTGTTTCACATTGTGTGATATATCTGATAAACCAACTAATATGGAATTATTTACTACCACAGTGCCCAAGTTTTACACATATATTAATAAGTCCAAATCACCTCTATGCTTTCAAAGCAACAATTGGTCATCACACAAAACCTTCCTTGGTAAACATTGTTTTGATACCAACCAGGGTAGATGTACTATTACCTGTTATTTGGTTTAGTGATCTGGATTGTTATTTTGACCTTCACTATGTCCTTTTAACTTGACCTAAGTAGTCTATTTTCTCACCTTTTAACTCTTTTTTAATTCCATATATTTCCCTATGACAAGTCCGTGTGTATGATCAGATTGTTCAAAATGTGTTGCACAAATGCACAATACACGATTCAGACAAATTACGTCGTCTAAATGCCTAGTCTAAATTCATTATGGTTATTCAGTAATAGAGAAAGATCAGTGTGCTTGTTTAATAAAACAGGAGTGACAGACCTAATTTTCAACAAATAACACTCTGCTGCATACAAATAAACAAAGCAAGAAGAACATATTGAGCAGTATGAAATGACGTCTTTTATATTTCACTGGTTCTTTTCAAGTGCATACAACCATGAACAATTTAACACTGATAATATGCCATTTTCAAATACTCTGGTTACTGATCATGAAAGTGGTGAATATTAATATATCATACGATTGAATAGCATTATGGAAAGGAGTGAATTTTTGTTTTATTATTCATTTTATTCCTTTACGTCCTCAGGGGAACACGGGGACTTCAAACAAGCTTCAGATTTGAAGTTTCGATAGGAGTGGTGCTTATTTTTATAGAATAGGGTTGCTAGCATGATGCCCAGCCTTCCCTCTTTACCAGTCTTATTACTGGCTTAGCAAGGCAAAGAAGTGCGTCGGTCGGGGATTGAACTCTTAACCACCTAGCGTGGTTGACGAGCATTCTACCGCTGTGCCACTGACACGGAAAGGAGTGGAAACCATTGTTTATTTATATTGTGTGCTCGTCTACCACCCACATGGTCCGAGGCTCGATCCCCCGGCCGACGCAAAACTGATATCCATGGTCGGCCTTCTAAATTTTGGCTACCGATATCACATACTGAAAATCGCATACTTGCACCAAAAATACTGTGTGCAATGAAGCTATGATTTACAATTATTTACATACCGGATACAAATAATTGTGAGAAGTAATCTAGAATCATGAACAAATGTTAAAAATAGAATAGAGATGTAAAATATAATTAAGAAGATAAATTAACAAAAACCTAAATAATGTAAAGTGTATTTAGCAAGGTAAGGTGGGATTGACAGCAGTTTCCTTTGAGAGGGCATAAATTTAGTTTTAATCGTTTAGCGGAATTCGCTGCAATGATACGCAGCAACCTGAAGCTGTGTTGAACTTTAATTATCTTAAAGGATTTTCAAGAGTTGGTTTTTAAGGATTAAATTTCTTTTTACGAGTTTGACCACTGATTGATATCAGTTGGAGGACTATTGAAAAACCTGCAGGGAGTACTGGACAGCTGTTTCGTCCTAGTTTGAGACTCCTCAGGAGTACGCACCCACCCCCCAACGGTTCGAACCCAGGACCTTCTGGTTACAAGGCGAGCTAGCTCGTAGACCATTAAGCCACTGGCACCCGATCCAATGGCCAGCTCATAACTTCTAACTTCTGCCAATTCACGACATAGCGTGACTACTAGCCAATGTCTTCTCGGATAAGTAATTTTCCTAACCTTGAACCTGCTGTACCCCCTACTGGTCATGGCTTCCCACTATGACCCCAGGTAACTGTCTGAATAGGACCGGTGGCTAATGAGCATCAGATCAGTTTTGTAGAAGTCCCTACAGAACCAATACTTAAAAAATATTATATATTAGTTGGCAAATGTGGTCTATAATAATATGTTTGTTAATCGCTGATTCATTTGACTACCAAACTCCTAGAAATTCACTGTCATTACTATGGGTGTTTCCACTATTTAAATTAAATCGGCGTTCAAAATTATCTCTGCATGTATCAATATGAAAGAATATGTGTTGTCTCTTCACAGTTGATTTATATTTTTGGATTTTGAGTAGAAGGGGATGTACACTTTGAAGAATCTAGTGTTTATCAAACATTATTCATGCACTGAAAACCACACGGTACTGAGGAGCTGTTTTATCCTAGCTTGATACTCATCATCAGTACGCACCTACCGGGTTTCCAGTCCAGGATCTTCTGGTTACCAGACGAACTTGCATACCACCTGGTTGGAAGTGAGGATAAATACTTGCTGATGACATTCGCTGGTGGTCGCGCAAAAATCACGAATTAGTCGAAGTGAGAAATCATGCGCTGGCCACTGAGTATCGTCCTGGTGGCTAAATAGCTTATGGGTTTGACTTGCAACAGAAATAGGGGTTCATATTGCTGATGAGTACCAGACTAGGACAAAACAGCTATCCAATATTCTCTTGCTTTCAATGGTTGCTTATTTGATATCAGTTCTTGATCAAATTTGAAACAAACCAAGACCTCAAAAAACAAACTCTTGAAAATAGTCCATGGAATGTATTTTATTGATGGTACTGATCTAGTCTTTTTTGGCGGGCTGAGTTCTTTGGTGCTCACGATAGTGAACGAAGTGAGTGTGTTGACTTGGCTACTATATCTACTTCAAATGGTTTTAGTATTCTAGCGGCTGCTTCAAAAATATTCTTTATATATATATATATATATATATATATATATATATATATGGCAAAATGATTTTCTTTTGTGGTCTCTGAGGTTTTTCATAGTAGTTGTACAAAGTTCTATTTTACAGACAAAAAAAAGTGGCATTTAGTGACTCTTTAAAAATTTGTACTTTCCATTTCTCTCCTTTTTTGTTGTTCCTCTAATAAAAATGTTAAAGGCTGAAAACCAGACAAGAAAATATGGAAAAGAGAAGAAAAAAAAATAGCTGACAACCTTCAATATCTAACCCAAAACTGCTTTCCTTCTTTGTGTAACTAACTAATTAACATATCCCTCCTTGAAACTTGAAATAATGATCAATGTAAAGGGCGAGAGAGAGAATAGACCAGAGAAGAAGAAGAGGAGAAGAAACTATGACTCTTACAAAAAACCAAAAAAAACTACGAAAGTAAATTTCAAACTAGTCAAATACACACGCACACACACACACAAACGCAAACAATTACTTTACATTTATCTTGTCATATTTTTTACTTCCACCTCATTCTTTCTCTGCTTTAACATTTAGTAAGAAGTGTGTAAAATCAGATAAGTTTAATATCATACAATTCACAAAAAAATATACATTCCCATCAGTGTCTATCAGGTTCCACTCACATCCATAAGACTGTACACTGCATATCTACGGTACATATTTATTAAATTTTCCTAAGGAGCAGAAGGAAGTAGATGTTTTGTGTATATTAGGCTGCTGTCAAACAAACAGAAAAAAAACTGAAGGGTTTGAAACTACAAGCAACATTTGTGGGGTTTTCACATCCTCTAATGGTCTAAAAATAAATGATCACCAAAATGTTATAAGGATTGGTGAAGAGGTTAATATTATAAAAACAGTTGATGAGTGAGAAAGGTCATCCAGAATAATTCATCGATAAGAATATGAATGCAAAGCCAAGGTAGGCCAAAGTACCAATGGTTTCAAAAAAGTAAGGCCTTATTCTTACAACTTTAGTTCCTTGGGGATAACATCAGTGAGATATGAACACAACGGTTAAGGAATACAGTGGTAAAAAGAGCATTCAGTGCTGCCGAATTATGCTGTATCTTCAAAACGCCCCAGCCTGGCACCTGTGGAGCCAGTTAGTTGCATAGACCGTACAATTAGGCGTGTTTATCATCGGATTTCCGAACATTATCCTGCGTGGTTAAGTAGAGGACAAACAAAATCCATTCATAGCTCTATTCTATCTCATCTTGTGGATACAGAACACAAGATTGATGTTAACTAGGCACCTTTAAAAGTCATCTACTGCATACCAAGTAATCTTAACTTCACATTAAGTTTCTCTACTAAATATTGCTGAGGCTGGCTGTTGAGATTCACATTAGGAAACCTAGCTTATGTATCCAAAAGAAGCTGGTTCAGACACTGTCCTTACATTGGCCATCAAGGTTCTAATGATTCTTATTTCCTTAATTTTGTTTGATATTCTATGCTTATTACGATTTATGCATCTTTCTTGAACTGTAATTTCATTGATCTTATCTTACAAATCGATAGCATTTAAAAAAACATCAATATTGTTAGTGATGACTATTCTAGAATATTCTACGTATATATATATATATGTGCGTCGGTGGCACAGTGGTTAGGACTCTCGCCGACCATATACATGGTCCGGGTTCGAGCCCACGCCGACGCACACCTGATATCTATGGTCGGCCTGCGAAATTTTGGGCTACCGATATCCACGCTGAAAATTCCATACTCGTACCATATATACGGTGTGGAATTAAGCTGTAATCAAAAATAAAAAAATATATAACTGTAGAACCAAAAGAGGAAATCATCGAAAAGAATATTCTTTGCTCAATTTCTTTTATTACGTCACTGTTTGAAACTGTGTAAACGTTTCACTATACACATAAAAAATAATCAGTGGGTGAACAGTAATTGAGTATTCCTCCAGTAATATTCAGATTATGGGATCTTTGGGAATTCGAGTTGATTTCAGTGGTTAGTAGATCACTGAAAACCATGGATGGGGCACCGAACAGATGTCTCGTCCTGTTTTGGGCCTCTTCGACACTGCATACCCAGGACATCATCGCTAAGGATGAAACTCAGGATCTTCAGATTACGACGGAGACATAGGTTGTCAACCATTTAGCCACCTGGGCTGGAATTTAATGAACCATGAATTCTTACTTTTGTCAGTTTGTGATCAGCCACCTTCGATGAGCGTCCACTTCACTTTGACATGATGGACACCACTGGTCACAACTTCTCAGTACAGCTTCCGGACATCAATCCAGTAGCTAGCCATCAATCAGCTGAAGATTGATATTCATGTTATTGGATTCCTAAGGATTTGTATTAATTTCACTCTCAACCACTGAAGAGTTCCAGAGAAGGGCGAAACAGTTATGCAGCATTCCTTGATTGTCATATGGCTTAGACTATGTAAATAGCAAAAACATGGAAGTTAGGCGGGTCTTTATGACTAAACCTCCGTAAGATATGCCCACTCTAAATGGTATCAAGAAGGCATCTGATGAATTGACGGACTGCTTAAAACTTCCATTTCTCTACTGCATATATTTTCTCTCATCATCCGGTACTCTCTGGTTTTCTAATGGTTCTCTAACTAGTGTCAGCTTTTGGCCCGACCTTTAACTAATCAAACCCCTGAAAACCTACATAGTTCTTTACATGTTTTTGGTGTACCAGTATAAGTAGCTTTCATTCGTCTTAACCTGAAGACTATTCACTCTGTGTACAGGCAACGGTTACTATAAGGCGGGCACACTGCCAAATGATCAGCTATTTATAATATAAATATATGTGGAAAACTTGGGCACCCTGATAATTTAGTAAGAAAGTATGTAGGAAAACGTAAAAATTAAAATAAAATAGATAATGATAGTAGTGATAGTGACAATAATAATATTAATGACGACACGCAAGTCAAATATGCACAAGACAATACCAACAATAAGGAATTTAAATCATCAGTAGTAATTCCATACAAGGAAGGAACCTCAGAGACCTTACTCAGAATTCCTAACAAGGTAGGAATAAAAGTGGTTGGCATTCAAACCCCCAACAAACTCAGTTAGAAACAAGCTTTCTCGGTTAAAGGATCCCGTCAATGGAGCCAACAAAACAAAATAATTTAGTTTATCTTATATCCTGCCTGCGATGGTTGTCAGGTCAAATACATAGGTCAAACTAGTAGAACAGGGGCAGTCACACTAGCCGAAAATAAAAATCTAGTAAAATCTAGATTGGTTGACCCGAATAAGATAAGAAATCTAGAGAATAGTTCAGCTATATCACTACATGCAGTTACACACAACCATACAATAGGATGGGATAGGATGACAGTTTTAAAATCGAATGTCACAGCTGGGTGGAGGGAGGGAGAGATTGATAACAGAAGCTTCGTTTATCGAATCAACTGCAAACCAACACGTGTAATAGGAATGATTCAACACCTGTCCAGCCGGATATCTGGAAAATTCTACTACCCCAACGACGACAAATAGGAGAAAACAAAGAAAACTATAAAACTCAGGTTTCGAAGTCGTGTTATTATAATTGGCGATATGACTAAGAACGGTAGTAAATTGTGTTCGAAACTGTGTCATCCAGTAAATAATACTGTTTCACTGTGTGATACATCTAAAAAAACTAATATGGTGTTTATAATATACACAGTGACTATCATTTATTGCTCCCATTACAAAAATATTATCTGCAAAGGACAATTATGACAATAGCGAGATTCCAATACTTACAGGCAATTGTTGTTCTGTTATCGGATCAGATAGTTGGAGTTTAGCAAGTTCATTTCTTAGCATTTGTCTATCATACGGATTGGTTATTCCACATGCATTAAGTTCTTCTGGTGTTGTATGACATAATGTCCATAAATCAAAACCTGATTTTGATAAACATCCACTTAACCTTAAAAGGAAAAAAAACAAAAATCAAAATTACTCGGTTAAATAACACAAACAATCAAAGACAAACCAATCGATGAAATCTCTACAAACCAATACTTGAATATCAATGATGTGTTCACTAGCAACTGACCCTATACAGGTAGGCAGTTACCTGGGGTTTTACTGGGAAGTCGTTACCAGTAGAGTACAGCAGGTCAGGCATGAGGCCATATACTCGCCAAAGGCATTGACTAGTTGTTGCGATGTCATGAATTGGCAGAAGCTAGAATTCATGTGCTGGCCATTGGATCAGGTCCCAGTGGCTTAATGGTCCACGAGCTAGCTCGCCTTGAAACCAGAAGGTCCTAGGTTCAAACCGTGGGGGTGGGTGGGTACTTCTTAAGAGTCCCGAACAAGGATGAAACAGCTGTCCACTACTCCCAGATTTTCCACTGGTTATCTAACTTATGTCAGCTCATAATGAAATCATGTAACCAAAGATACGAGAAGTTTACAAGAGAAGAAAAGTAATCCCCATTTTGACATTCAGAAGGTACAAGGATTGAGCGAAGAAATGCTTTCTTTTCAATTCGATCCTGATCTTTGATACAACAATGGATTTTACCAGTCTACTGGCGATATTTTTGTCAACAATAATAAATGAGCGTACAGTTGGGCAAGTTCATCATCGTATTTCCAAACATCATCCTGTATGGTTAAGTAAGGGACTAAAAGGATCTATTTTTAACTGTGTTTTAGCACACCTTGTAGATAGTGAGCATAAAGTTGATGTTAATACAGCATTTAAAGTTATTTATTTATGGCGTTCCAAGTAATCTTAATTTAGCTTTACGAGTTCGCGTTCTACAACTATACAACTGAAGCTATCAAAATCCACCTGAAGAAGACAAACTTATGTATTCCGAAGAAATTCGTACAGCCACTCTCTCTGTCTTAACTATCATCATGCGAATGTAAAAAGCAGACTACTTTGATTGAACACTGGTAAATAGTGTGATGTGTCTAGTCCTTTCTTTTGTGAAGACTGAATTCCATCAGTCAGATTTGCAATGTGGCCACCACTCTGATTAGTTCGCCATCACGTTGATGTTAAGATGTTGGAGGCAATAGGCAGGAAGCGTTGGAGCTGGGTTTCATGCTAGTAAGCACTAGTCAGCAAGGTGTATCCGCAACCTTGAAGGTACTCGTGTCTATTCTGAGATCCGATCTGACTATTTCAACCTTCACCTAAGCCTTTTAAAAATTAAAATTGTCCAAATTATTTTATAACTCTGACTACTTCACCTTTAATTGCTTTTATTATATAATCAACTTGAACGCTCATTTATCTATCATCAAGCAGTTTGATATGTATTACCGTTATGTAGATGATACATTTATCTTAATTGACGGGAATCCAAACATAGACGAATTGTTGATGAAATTCAGCAACATCTACCATTGTCTTACTTTTACTTGTGAAGAGGAACAGGATAGTAAACTACATTTTCTGGACGTCGTGCTAATTAGGCGAGAAGATAGGTCGGTGGTATAGCGGTTAGGACGCTCGCCGACCATGCACATGGTCCGGGGTTCGATCCCCGGCCGACGCACACCTTTACCTCTCTAAGCCAGAAACAATTCTGGTAAAGAGCAAAGGTTGGGCATGAGGCTAGCAACCCCATCCTGTAAAATAAACTCTGCTACAGAAACTTCAAGCTACTAGCTCGAAGCCGTATGTTCCACTGGGGAACGTGAAGGAAAAATTATTATTTTATTATATAGGTCACTTAGGGGAAGCGTGTTTGGAAAAAGCATATTCACAGGTCAATGAACACGCTTCCATTTCAGGTCCCCATGAAATATAAAAGAAATGTAGTTAAATTTTCTACGAACAGAGCAAGAAAGATATGTACTGATGATCACTTACAAAAGGAATTCAAATATATTCACGATTCCTTGACGGAGATGGGCTACCCGGGTAGTTTCATAAAGAAGCGTATGAAAACATCAGAGAGAAAACTTGAGACTCTGACTGCACGTAAGAAACCTCTATTTATTAAGTTACAATTTAATAGTGACTTATCAAGTGAGATTTTGTTCCAGAGACTTTCCAGGAGTATACGAAGAACATTTTACGCAGCAAACCTATGTTTGTCATTCTCTAGCCGACGAATGATTGGGACACAAACGAAGCATAAGCTAGATAGTTTCGCCACATCAATGTGCATTTATCAATTCAACTCCATATGCGGTAAAAGTTATCTTGGGCGTACTGCTAGACAGCTTAGCCAACCAACGTGTTAGTGAACAACTCCCATCGTGGTTTGGCAAAGGACAAACAAAAACCATCCGTGGTTCAATTTTGTCACATTTAGTTGATAGGGGTCATGTAGCGGAGAAAACGAGAGGTTTCGAAGTAATTCATCGTATCCCACTGAATCTTTCCAAAAGACTTCGTATTCGTCTACTGCACGCACACAGCCGAGGCGATAGGCATTCGAACTATTAAACCTAAACTATGCATTCAAAAGAAGTTCGCACAGCCATTATCCCTCCCTTGTTGGCCCAATGAGACATAACCAACTGATGACTTCTCAATCACCTCTTACTTATATTTTCAACCCCTTTCTTATCATCCCTTATCCTATCACATCTTCATTAAAAACGTGTTTCATTTACTTCCCTTACAATCTAACATTACTTCTTCGGTTCATTTGTTTTTCTTAGCCTTTATCGACTACTTCCACCTGAACATTTGTTTGTTTAATCATGCTGTTTTTCATTATTTGTGTTATCACAGATCGCATCACTTTTTCATCCTTATTATTGATTAGACGATTATTATTATTATTATCACTAATATTATGACTAATTGCACAATTCATATTCACCATCTTATTATCCTGTCGACAAAACACCATGATTGGTTTATATTTGAATTTTTATTTGTAAACTTATTTATATTAGAGTTAAACCTGATGAGATCTAATTGAAAACAATATTGTTCGCTTAAATGTGTTGTTCTAAATTTTACTATGGGAATATTTTATACATTAATTACTCCCTATTTTTCTAAAGTTATGAATTATGCAATACTTTTGTTACAATCATTCCCATCCTCTAATTGTTTACGTTAATTTTCTTTTTATTTAAATATTGGTTTTGTAGGGATTTTGTTTGATTGGATGGAGGATTTTATCATGAGCTGACATCAGTTAGGGAATCATTGAAAAACCATCGGGGAGTACTGGACAGCTGTTTCGTCCTAGTTTGAGACTCTCCAGTAGCATGCATCCACCGGGATTCGAACCCAGGACCTTCTGGTCACAAGGCAAGCTAGCTCTTAGACCATTGAGCCACTAGGACCTGATCCAATGGTCAGCCCATGACTTCTAACTTCTGCCAATTCACGACGTAGCGCGACCATTTCGCAATGTCTTCTTCGATGAGTTACTGCCTCATTTTTCGGTTAACTATCACCGCCTCTTTGACACGTTCATATTGACTAATTATTCTTAACAAAACATCTCACCATTAGATTATATTAGAGTAGAATTGAAGATGAGGATCTAATTGCTCAATCATTTTGGCCTATAAAAGAAGTTGTCTGCTAACTTGAATTTTAATCAAAGGATGTTAGGTAATGAGAAATATACAGGAAAGCTGATGCATAAGTACGCAGAAACAGTCACTGAAGACCACATAATTGAAATATTAACACTACTAAAGATAAATTTCACTTTCATCCTTTGGCATTTCGAATGGAACATAAGGTTTCAAGCTTTTAAAAGTTTCAAAAGTGAATGTGCTGTTTTCTTTTGCACAGGGTAACGTAGCTGGCCTCGAAATCAACCTTCCCGATTTTCCAGGCTTTCCGCCGGCTGGTCAACCAGGTGAAGTTTAACAGTACGCCAGCTGGGAATAGAGCCTGGACGTCTTACTTGGTTGAAGAGCATTCTACCATGGAACACCACCTACGCTCTAATCGTTTGACTATTTAATTCCCTTGAATTATTTGTATCATTTGATTGAAACGTATCTCGACAACCACTTCATCTCCACGTCGCTGCCTGTTATTCACTACTAATGTGTGAGAGGTAATAATGCTACCTGGTTGCTCAAACTCTACTAGGCGAAGCGGTGTTTAAGCTCATGACCAAGTTTTGGGAAATCGATAGTCTAGTATCCTGCCTCATAGTTTCACATTCGCACTTCATTTGAATACTGATTATATTTGTGAAACCTTCTCCTTTTTTCTCTCTCTCTCCCTCATGAATTTCGTAAAACTTAGTCTTATGTAATCTGAATTCCCTGACACCTTTGATCATATACTCACTATTTTTATGACGAAGGCTGTTTCAAATGAAGACAAATCTATTCCCAACATAACTCTATATTCTGACACACATTAATGCATGTGAGAATGATTGTGGAGTTGGTCGTATTCATCCCATTCAACGAATGACTTTTTATACTCACTGTCCAAGATATTAACAGAACAAATATCGTATCTTCAGCTGTTAAGTGATAGTATGTGTAATCACCGCGTCGGCGGCACAGCGGTTAGGACTCTCGCCGACCATGCATATGGTCCGAGGTTCGATCCCCTGCCGACGCACACCTGATATCTATGGTCGGCCTGCAAAATTTGGGCTACCGATATCCATGCTGAAAATTCCATACTTGTACCAAAAATACAGTGTAGAATCAAGCTGTAATAAAAAAATTAAAAAAACCTAAGTAATCCAGTCTAAAAATCTAGTGAACCATGTTCGGTTTCCTTTACGGGATGACACTGCTGGCCCCAATTGCAGTCTTTCCTCTTTTCCTGACTAACCACCTGTTGGCTAGTAAATCAGGCGAGGTTTAGCGGTGCATCGGCCGGGAATCGAACTGGGATCATGTGCTTAGCAGTCTGACATTCGACAACTGAACCAAGGACGCCACTATCAATAAGTTATAAGTCTGCAATTCTCATCGATCCTACTCCACACCTGCGGGTGAATTCGCTATTTGAAGTTTAGAACAGATCACAAATATTCACCTTTACAACATCACAAATGTTGTTAGGATTGTAAATTTTACTGCTGTTCTATCTATATTAGTTATTCCTTCAGTCATTAGTATGCTTGGTTTTGTGATTGCTAAGTATGGTGTCAGATAGACGCCTTGCCGATTCCCCAAAGTGGCTGACCATAATTCGGGTGGTTTGAAGTGATTCACTTCTCTAAGTTGACATAAACCCAGTACACGCCTGACGATGTAAGCCTCAAATGAGTGAAATAGCCACCCAGTGTTTACATTACTTCTGGCTAGCAAGCACTGTTCGTGATGTAAGTGGTATCCAACTGCTCGTGTAAATCAATCAGTAGTTACATAACATCTTATAATTCTCACTACTGAGATGAAACTTACTGGCTTAGGCACTCGAATTTCACTCCTTTTCTTGGCTTCGAATTTCCTCTGACCTAATTTAACCTTTTCGATTGAGTAGTACCATCAGTCTTCAAACAGTGTGAATCATGGCCGGAGAGTCATGTACTCCACGAAGTCTATCTTGAATTTGCGCTAGATGTGATTTCGATGGTCAGACGTTTTCAATGAAATGCACTGACTGGTGTGTAAGATATAGTAGCAAGCTATTAGTTATTACTCCTATTGGGAATATCCCTTCGACGATGCACAATCTCCCACACTGTCATCACACAAAAACTAGTGTTACCCATGATTTCATTGCTTCAAGTACCGTTTTCTTCCAAATGAACTAATTGGAATATGGGTCGACTTTTAAGGCGTTGTCATTAATTTCGCGCCTCCGTTACACAATTTCTTTTCTCAGTGCAATCTACATACGACTAAGTCTATTCTATGACATAATGGTCTTAAACAGGCCCTTTTCTATAAACCATGAAGCCATTGGTTTTAAGTCTAATGCTTTTACTAAGATATTGGTCATCTCATTGAGTTCCACATGATCATATGGTGAGGCAGACAGTATATGATAATGCTCATAATTGATTGAAACGATGCAGACTGAAATGGTTAGTGTTTCTGTTAGGTTACTCCAAGTCCTAGCACCAGTAAGCAAGTCGTAGTCGCAATCCCGATGAGACTCATGCCCTCCACCCCACCCTACAGATTTGAGCCCACATCACTCGGTACTATTGTCTACGACGTTAATACAGTTCTTTTCAGTTGCTTCAATGCTGAAGATACACCAAGTCTAAGACCTCGCAATGAGAATTAAATCCAAGTCGCGGGTTTGCATGTTAGTGATTCTAAAGTGAATTTTCTTCTCAGCATTACATGATTACTTCTCTTTACTTTATAGTTTGATTTTTAGGAGTTGATCATCCCAGTTTGAGAATCATCGGCAGTACTCGCTCACTGGGATTCGAACCCATAACCTTCTCGTTACAAGGCAAGCTAGCTAGTATACCATTCAGCCACTGAGACCCAATTCAACGGCCAGTTCATGAATTCTAACTTCTACCAATTCGTGATTTAGCGTGACCTCAGCCATTATCGTATGTGGGACATCCACCCTCACACGTGATATCTGGATGGACCTCACTGGTCACGACTTCTCACTAGAACTCACTCCGGGAAACTCCATCCTATAGGAAGTCATTAGCGAGCATCACATTAATATTCTATAGTTTGATTTGTAAGGGTTAGTTTTTTTCGGACCCCAGTGGGTGCATAATGCCGACGATTCCCAAAACAGGATGAAACAGCTGGCTGTCCAGTACTCCCTGTGGCTGGTTTTCAATGCTTCTCTAACTGATATCAATCCGTGATCAACTCGTAAAATCAAAACCAAACTATAGAATATTAATAGTTTGAGAAAAATCCATTTCTAAAATGAAATCTCCTTCATTTGTCTGATAAAAAGCTAAAATAACTGACCGTATAAATGCCAACACTTACCGATTCAAACCGACTGATCTTAACCAAGCGAAAAGTGCCTCATCGTCTGGATTAATAAACAGTGAGTGAATTGGCAGATGACTTTGTTGTTGATGTATTGACGGTTGATAAGGCTGGTTTTGTGCAGCATCATACTGTTGTATATTTGAGGGAAACTGTGAATGATTATAAACATTCATCGGCATATTCTTCGATGAACATTTGAAGTCACTGCTGAAACTCCTTTCTTGACAAGGTGAATGTGGAGTGGTGATAAAGGGTTGTTGTTGTTGGTGGTGGTGTGGTTGATAGGATCTATTATGATTGACTGTTGTACAACAGTTTTTATTACATTGGTAAGATGGGTAATAGTGATACTCATGTGGCCCCGTGACAGGCGGTACAGGATTTGAATTACTTACATGTATGATATTGTTATTATTATTAATACTATTACTATTGTATTTATGTATCGGTGAGGTTAAAGTATTGTCTTTATTTGTTTGTTGATGTGGTGTATACTGGCTAAGCAAATTACTATTACTGCCGGTAACACCAAATTTACTGTAATTACTATTATTACTGCTACTACTGCCCCCACTAATACCACTACTACTAGCTGCATTATAAGTAGTAGAGTTTGCATGATTAAAAAATGTTGGTAATGTCGCTGCAGGCAATGAAGTATAGTCGAATGATGCACAACTACTGGAATTCTGGCTAATTTTACGTCCACCAGGCAGGATGTTATTCTTTTGTAGTTGATTATTATAAAAGAATGAAGAAGTTGTTGTTGTTGTTGAAAGAGGACAACCATCATCTGAATACAATTGAGGACATTGAACCTATGCACAGAGAGAGAAGGCGGGAAGAAAGACGGTAAGTGTAAACAATTTTGTACAAGCATTTAATTGGTGGATGGTGACTAGCAGTGGAATCATGGATAACGCGCATTTCGTCCTATTTAGGACTCGTCATCTGAATGTACCTGAATTTCTCAGTGAGTGATGACGTTCGAGCCTCGGTGGGAACATCGTCACTCACTGTGGAATGCAGGTGCGTCCATATGATGAGTCCCAAATAGGACGAAGTGTGTTTTGTCCTGGATCTAAGTGCCAGTTACCATCCACCAGTCAACCTCCAGTTACGTGCCCAGACACTGTTGAACCATCTGAACAAGATGTCGACAATATGTCAACTTGAGATCGAGCAGTTCAGTTCAATTAATCGACGGGAAAATTTAAAATTCAATTAAATTTTGTACAAGCGTCTGAAAAAATTAACGCAAAAGCAACCATCACAATATGTAAGAATTTTAACATCATGCTAAAGTGATTTTGATGGTTAGACTATGTTTGATAGTGTTCCAGCAGGATTTAAAATATTGGCTGTCAGACTGCGCACCAAGCACTCTACCATTTAAGCTACGCACCATTTATTCACATGACAGCTTACTACTACACCTAATGATTACAGTGAAATGAAGACATCTTTGGCAGGTGAGTCTCATGTCTTAGTTCAAGGACGTAACAGATGGACACTGGTGGAAAAGCTCTTAAGCAGAGCTAGGGCGTTGTATTCAGAAGACAAGATCGAAGAGGAACTCATAGTCATCGAAAAGAAACTTATCGAAAATGGATACCCTCGGAAGTTCATCTCATAATAAGAGTAGAAAAAACCACCTACAACAAAACCCGATATAGATGAAAAGAAACCCTACCCTTAAATCATCAATCAAATCATCAAACTTAAATGATGAAACACAAGAAGAGATACGCCAAACAATCGTACCTATGGTCAAACAGAAGAAACAACACAGACAACTCAACTCTCAAGAACTAAAGACTGTCAAAAACCTGAAAAATAGCAAAGACATCGTCATTCTACCAGCTGAAAAAGGAAGAACCACAGCAGTCATGGACAAAGAAGAATACACCAAGAAAGCTGAAAAACCACTGAAACATGAGGATGTATATCAAAAACTCACAACAAATCCCATACAAACATTAGACAACCGCATCCAAAGAATCTTAAACAAGCTCTTTTTTAGAAACCTAGTATTCCAGTGAATCATCAATCAATAGACACATAGACATACACAAAATTTACCAATTGATAAGAAGGAAATCTCTGACACAAAGGGCCAAAGTTCAGGTCAAGGAAACAATCAGTATCAATACAGGTAGCCTGGAGGATGTGAAAACACACGAAAACAACCAATCACATCCAGGGTCACCAGGAGAGATGAAAATGTCGCCTAGTAGGGTGATGAAAGCTTCTCAAATGAACCATCCAGCTAGCTTAGACAACACAACCACATCAAAAACATGAACGAAAGACTAATCACGCAAACAAAACAACATGCATGACTATTTAGTGACTACAAATAGTCCACATCCGATTCGTCCAGTTTCAAAGAATGCATATTAACATTATCGGCAACTTTGAATAATTTCCATTTACAATACTTCTTCATGTACGTTTTAAACAGTAAATGCTAACTGCCGTGGCCTGAATGGCTAAGTGGTAAATACTGAGTAATATAAGGGTAAAATTCTCAAAGTACCAGAATGTCTCCAAGATTTTAGAATATGAATATAGGAACAACTCTTAGGATGAGAGATTTCTATAGATTAGCTTCTAATATCTATTATTCAAAGAGAATGTAGAGGCAATTAGAACAAAAGTATTCTTTTTATTTTTATTTTTTTTTATTTACAGCTTGATTCTACACTGTATTTTTGGTACAAGTATGGAATTTTCAGCATGGATATCGGTAGCCCAAATTTTGCAGGCCGACCATAGATATCAGGTGTGTGCCGGCGTGGGCTCGAACCCCGGACCATGTATATGGTCGGCGAGAGTCCTAACCACTGTGCCACCGACGCATAGTTAGATCAAAAAATAAAAAAAATAAAAGACTATATCGTCTGCATATTCTAAGTCAACAAGATTATTCCCTGGTAACAATCCCTGAGTCTCTGAAGTGAGTTAGGTTTAAGTCCACCAGTACATCTATGATGAAATTGAATAGAAATGAAGATAATGGGCATCCCTGACGGACACCACTAGTCGTCACCACTTCAGATGACAACTCACCGTAAGCCCTCACCTGGCTGCATTAGTTCGAGTAGAGTGCCGTTATCAGTGCAATGTATTTTCTCGGCATTCCCCTTACAGCCAAGTATCTCCAGAGAACCTCCCGGTCGACAGAATCGAATGCCACCTTCAGGTCAAGAAATATAATGATTGTTGGACGCCGGTAAGAATGCCTATGTTCTAGAATCTGTCGAAGGGTGAAGATATGATCAATACACCCTCTTCCTGGTCTAAAGCCTGTCTGGTTCTCTCGTGTTTGTGCCTCCCAAGCACCACTTAGTCTACGCAATATTATTGAGCCTAGGACTTTGGATATTATATTAGTACGTGTGATGTCAGTTCGTGAAGAGGTCTACTTTGGAACCTATCAAATCCTTACAAACCAACAGATGAGAAAATATGTGATTTGCTTCCTTTTCAAATATAATAATCATCAAACTTTCTTATTGTCCACCTTTATGTTGGAAAAAAATATCAGGATTATTTACTTGTTATTATCAAATTCTACCTGACCTTTTCATTTTTTTTATCAACTTGTAGTTATTTTTCAATGCGCCTACTATACAGCTGACCTCAGGGCTATTGTTAATTAAAGAAGTAAAGAAAACCTTACATAGAAAGAGGACCAATTTTGTCAGAGAAGTAACAGGGTGATGAACTTAATTTCGTTCTATTTTCTATTTTTCACAAGTATCACTGAGTATTGATCTGAAAGGCTGATAAGCAAAACAACCACAATAATCCTCTATACTTGTCTGGTTGACGAAGTTCGTGTTGTTTTTGTTTAAAAGAATATCCAGGAGAGTTTTATCTGACTTTTACTGAATCTGAGGTTGATAATGTAACAACATAAATTCTTAAACTCAGACAAGTGTAACTCCTCTTGAAAACCTGCGCTTCAGTTTGCCTAGACAGAAACTATCATTTAGGAAATCAAAAACCTCTTAAACAAAGCAAAATAGGTTGACATCGGCTAGAGAATCATTTGACGACCTTGGAGTTATAGACAGATTTTTCGTCCTAATTTTGGACTCTTCAACCAGCTGTCACCATGGAGTTTCGGGCTCAGGACCCCCCGGTTACAAGGGGAGCTCAGAAACCATTAAGCTACTGGAACCCAATCCAACGGTCTGTGAATTCCAATTTCAAAAGACAAATGCTCGCCAGCGATGACACTGGCTAATCATGAAAAGGCAGAAGTTGGAATTCATTGGCCATTGAATCGGTTCTCGGTAGCCTAATGGTGTACAACCTCACCTTGTAACAGGGAGGTCCTGGTTCCAAACTCCTGTGGGTGTGTACTGTAAAGAGTCCCAAACAGGTGTGTAGTACTCTAGCAGATGTCAGCTCTTGATGAAGTCCTGTAACCAATCAAATCCCCGTACTGACTAATCACCAATCAGTGAATGGTCTGTCATATTATGTGAACATCAGGACTGATTGAATTTTATCAGTTTAGCAAACAATATCTTCATCAAGCTGAGAAGAGACTGCCTATTGGATTGAAACAATTCAAAGCTAGTTAATGAACGTATACTTTATACTTCTAAAATCGCAGTAGAATGCTGATCAGCCATGCATGTGATCCCGGATTCTATCCCCAGTCAACACACTAGTAAACCTCGGTTAGTACGTAGTACGTCCGGCGAAGGGGAAGGTTAATTAGAGAATGGAAACCACTGCCAGTGAAACTTCAAACCTCAAGCTTGTAACATTATTTTCCGTTCAAAAATTAAAGCAGCGACATAAATAAATTACAGTTCTAAAGCGAGATAATAGTGGCTTTATAGTAGCTCAGGGAAAAATCTGCAACTACAGCGTTGGCTGTTACAAGTTTGATTCTTTGAAAAGACGTCAGCTGCTGACAAAATGTCGATCAGTGCAAAATCTGTTTCACAGAGAATCCTCTCGATTACCTGTGGCAACCCTCTAACAAACGAAAACATAATTGGCAGGGGTGACCAAAACAAAGCGAATAAAAAAGGCCTTTTATATCCTTATGAATTTATCCAGTCACTGATAGTTCTTACTGTGCACAGTTTATTAGGAATTCGGTACACAAGGTAAGAAAAAAAAGAGATGCACAGATGTTACTGAACCAGACTAAATGTATTAAATGTGAAGCGTAGAAAAGGGGAAATGTATTTTTAATAATTATTACTTAGGCAATTTGTTTAAACAAGCTTCCCTTAATTATTCGTCTCATTCACCGTATTCATAAATGACTGCAGATTTAATTACAAATATACATAAAACGTGTTTTCACGGTATAAAAAAATAACCTAGATAATTATTTCCAGTTTATTTTTGTATTTTTTTGTAGTCATGTTGGACACGTTGACCATGTAAAAGGCATAAATTGTGCATTCTTGGTAGAAGTAGTAGTAGTGTGACGAGTGCTACTGATAGGATTTATCAGTAGTATGTAAAGAGGTATTCACTGGCATAAAAATATTTAATAACCGAGAGAAAGATTTCACGTCAAACAAGGGAAATGAACCAGTATTGTGGCAAAATATTGGAGACACGAAAAGAAGACACAGAAACACAATTCGAAGGGCAGAAATAGCACAACAAGGAAGATCCGTGCAAATGACGATTTGAAGATAAGGTGTATAGAATTTCCCCATATAGGGATACTAAACTGGGTGTATATTTCTGTTACATACTTCGAGACAATCGCCAGGAAGCCGAAGATCCAGGTTTCGTACTTTTTGGCACTCATCAATGAGGCATCTCCGCAATC